CCCGCTCCAAGCGGTTGATTTTTTTTACAGGAACACTCTTATAAATCCCTCTATTCTCACTCTCCATTTCCTAGGTTATCTCCTCTCTCTTCCATGCCCTACTCGGGTAACACTACTATAGGGTTAGTTGGCACTGACCGGCCAAAACATATCCTCATTGAGTCGCCTCGGACCCATGAACAGTTCCCGGTCGGTGACTAATATGTCATCATTGACAGGGTAGCTGACTGATCAGTGGTGACATATATCCGTGATGACCTAGTCAGTTTATGGAATATATATCGGCATGTCATAAATGAAAGAAGTATAAATATCATCCTTACACACACGTTCCATATAATCACCCACACTACCAGAAAAACTGGGGTTGCTGACGGCCAAATCTATGCCGACGGCCCCCGTCGGCATCTATGGACCTATGCCGACGACCAAGGATAGGCCGTAGGCGTAGAATAGCCGTCGGCATACATCCATCTATGCCGACGGGGCCGTCGGCATAGACGAGGCCGTCGGGACCGCCCGAGATACGCCTACGGGGCCCGTCGGCATAGGACAGGCCGCCGGCATAGCCCGGGCCCCCCTGCCCGGTCAGCGCTGACCATTTGACGGCGTTGACCCTACGCCGACGGGCGGTAACGGCGGCCGTCGGCATATCTGTGGCAGAGGTATGCCTACGGCATAGCCGTCGGCATAGGCCCCTCTGCCACGTCATCGATCCGTGTGCCACGCCACGTCATCGATCCGTGGGACAACCTCCGTGTGTGCACATATATGCCAACGGCCTTGCCGTCGACATACGTTTATTTTACTTAATTTTTTTATTTTTACTTTGGTTATCTGTGGCAGAGGTATGCCTACGGCACAGCCGTCGGCATAGGCCCCTTCGCCACGTCATCGATCCGTGTGCCACGCCACGTCATCGATCCGTGTGCCACGCCACGTCATCGATCCGTGGGACAACCTCCGTGTGTGCACAGATATGCCGACGGCCTTGCCGTCGGCATACGTGTATTTTACTTTATTTTTTATTTTTACTTTGTTTTGTTATTTTTACTTTATTTTAGTTTTTGTTTTTGCATAAGATAATTATGCCTTATCTAAAGAAACATACCCGATGGTATATCGATTGCCGCCCGTTACGAATGTCGTTATCGCCGTGTCACGGAGGGGGGAAACGGTCGACACGGAAGGAATTCTGGTTGGTGGGGGGATTCGGGGTGTAGCTATGTCACCGAAACATCGCACGGGTCCCGATGCATATGTGAAAGTGTTCATGCATGCGTAGACGCCCGTCTTGGGGCTTCGGGGTGTGCCCCCCCTCACGGACGGCGCTGCCGCCGGCACCTGGAGGGGGGAAACGGACGCGTCGGGTCTACACGGAGGGGATCTTGCTGTGGGTCTGGCCCGGATGTTACTCCAAAGTGTTCCTATGGGCTGACCTAACACAACCGGGTGGGGAGGTCCACTGGTCAAAGCCCGTCCGTGCAAAGTCAAAGGGCTAGATCCCGTGGTCAAACGCTACAGGGTTAGGCGGGACGGGGGCACTGGGGGTAGCAATGCCACCGGAGCGTCGCACCGGGCCCTCATACATGCGGGGTGGTGTGGTGGCATGTCCGAAGAGGCGGGACGCGTCTTCGGGGCGTGCCCCCCCCTCACGGACGGCGATGACACGGTAGTAGACGTTCCGCGGTAACGATGCGGCGTCAATATTACTAAATACTCGGAGCGCGATAAAATCATGAGTTTTTTTGCACAACGTGGGCACATGTGCTATTGGAACGATGGTATTTTTTCATAATTTTTGGTGATGGAGAAGTATCCGAAAAATTCCCTCTACGCGGATTGCCCTCCGCGCATCTACGGCTGTGGCCGGCGGCCTCCGCGGGCTAGCATGCCGCCAAATCTTGCGTAGGCGGCCTCTCACAAGTCTGGAAGTGTTGTGGCAGTTGCAAACGCCCGACACGCGTGTCCGGGGTGTGCCCCCCCCTCACGGACGGCGCTGCCGCCGACACCTGGAGGGTGGAAACGGACGCCTCGGGTCTACACGGAGGGGATCTTGCTGTGGGTCTGGCCCGGATGTTGCTCCAAAGTGTTCCTATGGGCTGACCTAACACAACCGGGTGAGGAGGTCCACTGGTCAAAGCCCGTCCGTGCAAAGTCAAAGGGCTAGATCTCGTGGTCAAACGCTACAGGGTTAGGCGGGACGGGGGCACTGGGGGGTAGCAATGCCACCGGAGCGTCGCACCGGGCCCTCATACATGTGGGGTGGTGTGGTGGCATGTCCGAAGAGGCGGGACGCGTCTCCGGGGCGTGGCCCCCCTCACGGACGGCGATGACACGGTAGTAGACGTTCTGCGGTAACGATGCGGCGTCAATATTACTAAATACTCGGAGCGTGATAAAATCATGAGTTTTTTTGCACGACGTGGGCACATGTGCTATAGGAACGATGGTATTTTTTCATAATTTTTGGTGATGGAGAAGTATCCGAAAAATTCCCTCTACGCGGATTGCCCTTCGCGCGTCTACGGCTGTGGCCGGCGGCCTCCGGGGGCTAGCATGCCGCCAAATCTTGCGTAGGCGGCCTCTCACAAGTCTGAAACTGAAGCGGCCGCTCTCACACATGCAGGCGTGGGAGATCACCCATACGCGGAAGGACCCCAAGCCTGGCGAGCCCAAGTACTACGGCAAGAAGACCGCGAGGAGGAAGAAGGCCTACTCCGAAGCGTATCTGAAGTTACATCCTGACACACCTGACCCCATTGCGGCGCCTCTAGTCGACATGGCGGTGGTGAGGATGGGGCCCAAGGAGCACGGTCGGGAGGCGGTTCTCGATGCTGTGATCACTCCTAGTATCTCCTACACACAGCTTCGTCGGATCGACCTGAGCCTGAGCCAGCGCACGAGCCAGCCAGTGACCAGTGCATAGTCCCTCCTTCAGGAGCAACAATCTGTAAGTATTTTCCCTCTTATCTTCATTGCTCACTTTATTTTCCGCATTTAGTAGTTTTATGAGTTCCATCATGTCATACCGTAGGCCTACCTGGAGTACACACGCCAGGAGACCATGGCATGGCATCAGAGGCTTTATGAACACCAAGTGCAGAGGGATAGTCAGATGCAGTAGGCTTTTCAGGAAATGGCGGCCGGCAGGTGTCCTCAGTTCCCTCCAGCACAATGCTTCTGAGCTTTGAGGAGTTTGTGGCACAGAATGCTGGCCCCTCGCCGGTTAGTTCATCCCTAATCTATTCACCCAAAGCATTTCATGCCTTTCAACACAGTCATATATCCCGTGCATATGTCTTTTCAACATCCAGGGAATAGGTGGATCTACCGTTGGCAGTGGTCTTCGCAGCACCCCGGAGACACGGAGCCCGACCACTCGATCCACGGAGGCGGAGGCGGTCTTGGCGGTAGCGCTGCCGCTAGCAGTGATGACCTGGGCTTCGGCGGTCTTGGCGGTGACGACCTCCGCGGTGCTCGATGATCCTTGTGTGTGGTGATGATGCTTGAGATGACTTGTGTGTGGTGATGATCATTTAGATGACTTGTGTGCTTCTCTATATGCTTATGCTTATGTTGGTTGTGATGATGATCATTTAGAGACTTGTGTGTGATGATGCTTATGCATATATTGTTGTGATGGTGCCGGATGATATCCTGTTGTGTTTTATATGTCTGTTCCATCATATATATCTGCTGATATGTGCTGTTATTTGAATTGAATTGATTTGAAAACAAACAGAAAAAAGAAAAAAAAAGCAAAAGCAAACTATGCCGACGGCTAGGCCGTCGGCATAGGGCTGGCGTGAGCTCCCAGTAGCTGACACGTGGCACCTATGCCGACGGCGTAGCCTTCAGCTTAGTTTAAAACCTGTACCGACGGCTAGGCTGTCGGCATAGGCACCCACGTGTCAGCTACTGGGAGCTCTGTATGAAGGAATATGCCGACGGCTTGGCTGTCGGCTTAGTTTCAAACTATGCCGACGGCCCAG